AAAATCGAAGCCTTCAAAATACTTTTAATTGAATTAAATTGGTACATTATTCTTTTTCAAAATTCTGATGAATAACAGCATCGAAAATCGGTCAATAAAAATAAATGATGATCACACAAAAAATTATAGAAGCGGAAACAATTTTCTAATAAATAAAAGAACATTATATATATATAAGAATTCTCAAAATAAGTTTTGCATATATTCGTTCAAAATTAATTATTTGCAACTTAAATTAAAAATAACCTCTTTGTCTATATAGAATGCTTAAGAAATTTAAATATATTCTCGAAAAAGGAAAAGAAAGTGAAGTTAAGTAAATTTTTTGGAAAATAGAATTTTATATTTAATACATTTTTAAAATAAAGCACAGTATTTTGAAACCTACAACTGCATTTATGGAATAAATCAAGAGGAAATCAAAATAAGCATTTAATACAATTAAGAAAACATATAAAGGAATTTACCCCAATTTTTAAAAAAATTGCATGAAATCTATAAATATAAATGAATTATAAACATAGTATTTTTACGCCTCTGTAAATGAGTAAAAGAATTATTATTTTCTTACTGATATATAAATAAATTAGTATTGTTCGTTTGTTCTTATTAAATATTCACAAATATGCTGCTTTCATTTATTATTAATCTTTCTAAATTTTTCCCTTTTATTCATATACTAATTTAACTAATTATCCCTTTGTGCTATTATTTTGACATACTGTGTGTACGCGATATGTATTCTACAATTTTATCTTTATTACTTTTGTATTTCCTTCTTATTATTTACATTCCGTTGCTTTTGAATGTTTAAAACTTTTATGTCTGTATCTAAATATAAATATTTTCATTAAAACTTTGTCATTTTCAATATCTAAAAATAACTTATATATATAAGCTCGGATCCTGGTATTCTTTGCGACCTACTATGAGAAAAATAGAGTTATTCATTAAACATGTGAAACATATATTTTATAACACTTCCCTTTCATTATTTTAATGAAAAAAATATAATGTTATTTTAGATCTTATTTAAGTATTTAACCAAATAACTGTGGTGCTGCCGTTTGGGAGTGCTCAACTTTGTGTGTCACGGAAATTGAGCGATAACAAATAACTCGTGAATCATAGAGTAAGTATTACTGTTAAAGTATTGGTTCAAAAAAAGGCGGTTATTTTATAAAATATCCAATTATATTTCTAATACTTATTTATTTGGTTAACATAAACATGTATAGCATTCATATTGTTTGAAAAACGCACTTGTCTCATGGCTAACTATATACCTGTAGGAACCATATTATAAATTAACTTACATATTTTTGCACCTTTGCTTCTTTTAGTCTTAACATAAAAAAAAACATCATTATAAAACATAATTAAATTTGCTACACGAAGCTCTAAGCTACTTCAGCCGGTGCATGCAAGAACGTATTCATGGGTTGAACTTAAATTTTTCAAATTTTTATTTATTTGTTTTACTCCGACCTGGCATCAAAATATTTTAAATAGTTTGAAATTTGAGAACATGTTTTGTTTCTCTCAAAAATCACAATTGAAATAGCCAGTGGTCACTACTTTTTACCTATGACGAGTATACTCCACAAAGCCCAAAATAATGAAACTTCTCCATAACGAGAACACTCGTCAATCAGATTTAACTGGTTAATAAGAACCTTTTTCTATTCCTACTATTATCCACCATCTCTCTCTCTCTTTCTCTCTGTCAGCATATATAAATATATATATATATATATATATATATACTGGTGTCCAAAAGTTAAGCATAATTGATAATTATGTGAATAAAGAAGGAACTGTAAATCAGAATGGCGGGAAACGTGATGTGCGAGTGTAAAATGGTTATAAAATAAGGAGGCAAATCAAACGAATGATAATAATTAATTTTATTATCCAAAGTAGCAGTTTGAAAGATAACTGAGCATGGCAAGGATTCACACTTTAAAGAAAAATTAAAGAAAACATTAAATAAAATACTGATGCTGCAGTTTAATAAGGCCTGTGGTCACCTCTGACAGCCAGGCACGCTGCACAGCGATTTACCATACTTGGTATGAGATAATGAAGGAGTTGTGGGCTCAAACAGTTCCAAGCTTCTTGGAGAGCACTCTTCAGTTCTGTAACGGAGCTTTGTGGGTGCGAAAGAGCTGCAATTTGTCTCCCGAGCATATCCCATATATGCTCGATTAGATTTAAATCAGGGGAGTTCGCAGGCCACAACATGCGCTGGATGTTTTCCGTTTCAAGGAAGTCATCAATCAGCACCGCTCTGTGACAGGGCACATTATCATCCATGAATATGAAGTCAGGACCGACAGCACCTCGAAACAAGCGAACATAAGACTCAAGAACTTCGTCTATGTATCTTTGAGCAGTCACAGACCCGTGTCAAAGAAATGGAGGTATGTGCAGCCGTCCATCATGATGCCTGCCCATACCATTACTCCCCTTGATGGAAAATGATGTCTTTCCGTTATGTTTCTTGGTTCAAAACGTGTTCCACGTTCTCTCCATATCGTTACTCACCGAGAATCACTACTCAGACTAAACTGGGACTCGTCACTGAACATCACATTGGCCCACTCTCCCACACTCCAATGTTGATGCTTCAAACTTCAAACAAGTGCGTTTATGCGCCAACGTGAGGGGAATGCAAACTTCTGGTCTTCTGGCAAGCAGGCCAGTATGATTGAGTCTCCTATAAACAGTTTGTCTCGAAATTCATATTCCTGTGGCGACCGTGAGTGCCGAGCCCAGTGCTCTAGCAGTACTGCCCCTCTGACATCGCGCACTTATTACCAGATATCGGTCTTGGCCAGGGGTTGTGACTCTTGGTCGACCTGATACTGGCTGTCGAGTAACATCTCCCGTTCTTTGAAACCTCTGCCACAGACTTGAGATCACAGACTGGTCCACATTCAGAATTCGAGATACTTCGGTTTGTGATCGTGAGGATTCCAGCATTCCAACGATTCTTCCTTTTGTAAACATGTCCAATTTGCGTCTTTGTGCCATCATTCACTTTGTTTGATGGTTAATAATGTTCCTTCGCACAGCAGTTGCACAAAACTTGTCTGAACTGCCTATGCTGCGTGAATCGGTTTATCCGCGTTCCGACATGCGCCGGTCTTGCTCGCAGAATGTAGTCGATTGAAAAGTTTTGCATGAACCTAATGTTTCTTCTTCACCCAATTAATATCTGCAAGAAATTTGGAATAATTTTACGAATATTTACTCCATGTTTTTCGCATTTTACGATTTATGCTTAACTCTTGGACACCAGTGTATATTGTTATCTATATCCTCCTAAATTTATAAAAAGTTACCTAACAGTTAAATTAAAATATTTTATTAGTTGTACAGTTAATAGATAGATGGCCCCTCAAGCTAAGTAAATTACTAATATTATATTTTATTTAAAATGAATTGTATATGTCTGAGTAGTACTTTTATTTTCTATAAATTTTAAAACAAAATAGAGTTTTTAAATGTGTATATATATAGTATTAATGTTATTTCATCAAAACTTAATAATTTTATGCGTTACTGTTATTGTCCATTGCCCGGGAATATGTTCTGCAGTACTCACCGTGGTAAGTTTTTTTCTAATAATTTTAACTTTCATTTTTAAATGTTTTAGTAATTATTACAGGATATAATATTATCTTTTTACATTAATAGATTATGGTTTTATTTATAATAATAGTTAAACTCTTCTCTTGCTTCCCTATGCTTCTTGCTTTCCCTATGGCCCAGAGTATCTGAAAATTCAGGTGAAGGTTGACTGGCCGAAAAACATTGTTTAAATCTGCAATCCTGGTTCCTAAGGATAGAAATTTGTTCTAGTACTACTGTGCCTAAGACTATTCTATCATGACTGTAGTTATCTTAGGCTTATAACTGTTTTTTGTATATTTTGTAATATACATATATTAACGATTGAGAATTTGAACAAAATATACAGTAGAAGTCCGATAATCCGGCAAGTTCGGGACCGGCTCGGTGCCGGACTACCGAAAATTCCGGTCTATCGAGCGGTAATTATAAGAACAATTAGGTTAATAATTAAACTACAAATACAGTATGCAAATACATACAACAAAGTTTATTTTACATTTCATATAATGTATGTACACGTACTGTAAATCATATTTCACTTAGATTTAAAAAAGTCACGAATGTCTTTTTGTTTTCTTGACTTTTGGTGTTTAGTATAAAATTTATTTTTAATCATATGGAAATCAATAATTTCTGAAGCACTGTAGCTAGTACTAGCCTCAGTAAAAAAGATAAACTTATTCAGTGATTCTGCAGCTTCTGGTCACTGTACAGTTAGAACGAAAATCACTTTTTTATAAACAGTTTCAAAAGTTACGTTTACTGCGGTGTGAAAGGACACAAAACAACAACGCACAAAAAAATGGCGAAGACGCTTCGTGATTGATTAACGGAGCTGCACTGCATCTGAATTTGTTGTGACAGCTGAGACTAGCCGGCCGCTAATTGTTTCCGAACAATACCGAGGGCTTCCGGATGATCCGAACTACCCCGAAAACTTCCGAATAGCTCTCGAGCGTTTTTATTAGCTTTAAAGACAAACTTTTGGAGAAAACCAAAATTTTTACAATTTTCCGGAGCGATGCCGGACTATCGGGCATTCCGGACTGTTGGATGCCGGACTAATGGACTTCTACTGTATATATATATATATATATATATATATATATATACATATATACATATATCTTGTTCAAATTATCAATAGTTAATAAATAATAAAACACATTCTATTCATCCATTCAAGCTCAAATAAATTTTTTAAAACTTTAGTGGATGACACTTGATGCTAATATAGTTTTTTTTCTTCAAATATTAATCCATTAATTAAATTTAAAAATGAATAATTAGTGAAACAAAATAATATTTAACAAAAATAATAGTTTGACAGCATATATAGAAAGAAAAATCGTTCGCGGTGTGTCCCTGTAAAGTAATGGTTAGTGTGTTGGACTTGTAATCCAAAGATCGTGAGTTCGAATCCCGCCTGGGATTTTCTTTCTGAGAATGTGATTTCTTTTTTACTATACTTTTTTATTAGAATAATTAAATTAATTATAACAAACAAAAAATAGTCTAATACCATATATATAAAGGAAAATAGAGAAACTTGCAAGGAAAATTGCTTTCTATTATGTCACTTAGAATTGTGATTTTATCATATATGTATATACATATTTATATTAATTGTAATTATTTAATAAAAAATAAAATTATTTTTTCTTTGTTGACCTAAGTAGGAGAATTTATATTTCTTTTATATTACTTGCGTGTTCTATTATTCTTCTTTAGATAAAAGCTGCATAAATAAATATCCCGCAATTCTAGAATTTAGAATGTCTTCTAAACGTTCTTGATGTTTTCTGTGGCATTTTATATTTAATTTTAAACGCAGGTTTTTGATTATGATGATAATATTAGTTTGACGCGAATTTAATCAAAAGAACAAATTTACCGCATTCTTTTTCTTCGGTCACTTACATAAGTTTACAAATCTCATTAACCCTAGATTGTTGACCCCCGTCATTTCGTAATGCTTATTGTCTGTAAGTAATTACAGCTCCTTTCTGTCCCTCTCATTGATCCGGATAACCTTATTTTTTTTTAAAGAATCAACCCAAGGTGACCTGACATGCCTGGATATAAGATGGATTATGTTGATATTATTCCTACAGTATAGTTAAAATTTATTGCTGACTTGAAACTACAGAAAGGAATATATATATTTTCTTACAGCAGCTATACTTTAAAAAATCCTTGTCCGTATAAAGGAAAGAATGAGTATTTGCTTAAAAACTCTTTAATTTTGTGTTCTCTAAATATCAGTAAGAACAATTTTAATCTTTACAAATAGAAACGGCAATTAGAAATATGAATAACTTTCATTTTAGTCAAAAATAAAAAATGTCTGGGAGAGATTTATAGTTTTTCATGGTTGTTTTTAAAAATCGAATGATGTGTGTACGTGTGCGTACTATTTTGCACTTTGTGTATGTTAATTTGTTTGTTATAAATGTATATAATAATTATCCATTGAAATTTTCTTTCTAGGAAGTTCTTCGTTGTTGTCAAGGTCACAGACTCGTGGCTGAAGTGAGTTCGAGACTGGTACCGCTGAAGACCCGCTGTGTAGAGGATCGATGCACGTTAAATCTGTGTGTCCTCCCTTTTTTGAGGAGTTGAAGTTGGAAAATGAGGGGCAGTTCAGGCTTCGTCCTCCTCACTTGACCATGGTTCAAAACTACAAGGTCCATCACCACCAACCTTCGATCTGCTTTACAGTGTGACTTTAAAATAGCTCACTCGAGGAACTTCCTGTAATTTATGATATTATTGAACCTTCTAAGATATAGCGTGATAATTAATTGTTTCAATTTAACCCCCTAACGGGAAATATCCTTTTAACCACAACTTTATCTCATAAAATAATACTATCGTAACACACGTAAAAGTAAGATGATGAAATACTACAGAAGCCACTGATTCTCACCAATAATTGTATAAATTAAAGGAAAACATATGACTCTCAAAGCATCTGTTGGGGAAAGATATAAAAGCTGAGATCTCCGGAATGAAAAGAAGAGCGTTTTTGTGTACTATCTATGTTTGTGTTGGTAGAATTCACTTTGTCGCTTTGTGTGTTAAAATCAGTAACGTGCAATTAAAAAACAAAGTTTTTCCTCATACATTCAATGACTCCAATCAAGTAAAGATGTTCCAATAACATATTTAATTCCAGTGAAAACGTTTGGTTTAAGTTTAATTGACTCTCATAAAGAAGCATAATTACTGTTATAAAAATTAACTCAAATTATCAATATAATTTAATAAAAATTAATTTAGTATATATATATATATATATATATTCAAAATTTCTCTACAAGAGAGAGAGATATGAATAACCATAATTAAGACTAAAAAGAATTGTAATTGCAAGATAACCAGACATATATGTATATAATACAGAAAATAATACAGCTTGATACTCTTTACAAAAAGATAATAACTTTTGGATACATGTAAAGAACTAATTTCTGATAATGTGGAAATAAGGGTTTATTATTCTCTGAGGGTATAAAAAAAAAGAAATGGAATTCATATATATTTTTAGGAACAAGTTAATTTTATTTCCAATATGGAAATGTAATATTATTTCATAAAAAAAGTTTGGGTAATATATAAAACCTAATACTCCTTAATTTCGTTTTATGAACTATGTGTTAATAACGTCTCAATATTCTTGGATTTATTTTCGTATTACGCTAATATAAGACAATGCTTTTTCAAAAGAATTTCAATATGATATGTGCATTTTTCACTCTATTACGTTTATCCTTCCTAAAAGATTTTTAATAACATTTTATGGTAATTTTCAATTTAGTTTATAAGAGAGCAACAGTTATTATATTTAATTTGTCTTTTTAGACTAACAATATGTTTGAAAAAAACTTTGCAAAAACTCTTTGACATCATGATGATATGAAATATTTTTATAACGTCAATCAATATTTCCTTCCAGAACTAAAAGAATTTTTACTGTATTGGATTTGACAGAATCAATTTATTTTTAATTCTTTACAATGTCTCTAGTTAGGTAACAGTTGATGCGTAATACATTGCAATAAATACAATATATCATTAAGTTTAACATTAATATTTAATTTATATTAATATTTATATATAAAGACTATAAATAATTATATTTATCCATTGTGTTCAGCATTATTAATATATTCTAACAATTTAATTATATTGAATTAGTTTTAGAGTAAATTATTCCTTAAACATATTTTTGACGAAGCCTAAAAATAAGAATATAAATCTAGAATAAATTTAAATGATTGAAACTTTTATAAATGTACACATTTAAATGTTAAATTAATTAATAAAAGTAACTGGAAATAAATGATATTTTCTTAACTCTATCTAACTATATATATTAAGTATATCAAAAATGATAGAATAATTCTTTTATCTAAATACTTTTGCAAATTGCTATCTTCTTGTGTTGTGAGATATTTAATAATTATAATTATTTAATTTAAATCAGACTCGTTTTTTTAATCTTTAAAAAATACTTTTGTAACTAGAAGACTAAATATTTTCTAAGAAATACCACACTAAACGTTTTATAATAATATTTGCAAAACGTTTTATAATTTAAAAAATTCTCAGAGTTAGACGTTGGTGTCTTTATATGAAATTCTCAATAGTCAGCACTGAAAAGATACGCGATTTTTGTTCATTTATCGTTCTTTTATTAAATATTCAATAATCAATTGGTCTTTTTCAATGTACTTTGACTTCAGTTGCTAAGAAAAATTCGAAACAACAACAGTATTTATAAACCTTTAATGAACATGAAAATATTATAAATAGTTATTTAGTTTGTCTTTTGGACTAACATCTTTGAAACTTTACAAAAACTCTTTGATTACAGGCAAAATACCGATATCGAATATTTTTAATCTCAATAATTATTACACTCAATAACAATATGAATTTTTGCAGGAATGAATAAATAAGATCAATTTATTTTTAATTATTTGAAATATCATTACAGGTAATACTTGTTATTCTACATTTTGTATACTTCAATGAGATTAATACTATATCATCCAATTTAATGATATTAATTCTCATTAATTTTTATATAAAACCTATAAGTGAATACATTTTTGCATCTACATCATTAATATATTCTAATACCTTATTTATAACGAATTAATTTTTGAGATAAAACTGCTCAGTAAACACAAATTTTTGACGTAGCTGAAAATAAGGAATGTGAGATTGGAACGGATTTAATATAAACAGTTAAATGTATACAGTTAAATGTTTAATTAATTATTAAAAATGAAAAATGGTATGATGAGAAATTAAATTTTTCTTAACTATGTAGTAAATTTAGTTAATAAAATAATTGTTTTATCCAAATGCAGGTTTAGATTATTATCGCCATGTCCTGCCTTTTAGCTACAGTAATAATTATTTATTTTAAGGTATCCAACTACCCTAAAATTGTGAATTTTGCAAAAAGTCGAAAAAAAATTTTATGATTTTATTTTATAGGCTATCTTTTTAGCTTTATAAAACTACCAAATTTATTATTTTCCGTTCTCTAGAACAAAAACTAGAACTGTCCAAGTAAAAGCAGATGCCCATTACTTTAAGCAAGATATATATGTCATACTTTAAAACGCGTTTTACTCGAAACGTGTTTTTTTAAATGCTCAAACGGGGCCAGCAATTGCTAAAAATGTTTTAAAAATAATTAATTGATTTTTTTGTTAATATTCTGTATAATAGTAGAAGTGTTTTAACCTTCAGATTTATCGATCACTGTTTTATTACAAAATTTACAGTCCCTTATGTTAATATAATCACTATTTTCTTAAGCAATTTCATATAAAAACTAAGTTAAAATGCTCTAGTGTTTGTAAAAATAAAAATATCTCTTATCCTGAAGGTCATTTCAAAAATGAATAACATAGCAACACATCAGAATTGAAAATTTGTTCATAAACTTTTGGTACAGAATGGGCCATGTTCATGTTATTTTTTGTAAATTTTCACCCATTTTTTTCTCATTTTAAACTTATTTTTCTTTTTTAAATTGTAATATATTTTTCTTAAAATGTACTGAACCAAGTCTGCAAAAAAATCCCATATCTGCATTTTTTTTTAAAAAAAGTTGGCGCAAGTAGTTGGATACCTTAAATCAGAGTTCCTTAAAATGACGCTTTGTGACAAAAAGAGGAATTTTTAGGACTAACTAACTTAAAAATGGCATGCTATTCTTTATCTTCCATTTTTTACAGAAAAACAAATACGAATTGTTAAGAATTAGATGTGTGTGGCATGTATTTAAAATAATCTTAATAGTTCGAGCAGTGCTGTAGTAGATACGTTACTTATCCACATGCTCATTTCACTCTTTCATTACATATTCAACGTTCTAGTTGCTCGTTTTCATTTACTTCGATTTTAATTGC